TTTGGGCAAAGTGCCAGTTGATTGGGATTGTTAAATTTACTGGCGCGCCGCATAGAAAAAGAGAGGGAGAAAGTCATGGATCCTATTTTATCATCTTTTTTTGCGCGGGGAGCAGCCCTGGGCATTTCCTGGATTACGTAATCTCGCTAGGTTGATTACGTCATACTAGCGAGGTCAGTAAAACGCCAGCCAATCAGAATGGGGCATGAAACGCCAGTGGAGAGCAGTTTAGCCCGCTCTGATTGGACAAAATGATGAATTTTCTAAAGGCTGGATCAGGCTGGATCACACCAGCCTAAGTGCTGCATACAAGAATCAAGTCAGTCCTCCATGCAATATCATTGGACAAAATGGAGCGATTTTCGATGGCCGTACACGGCCATCGCGCAATCATCATGCTGGCCCGCGGGGTGTGAGGTGCTTCGCGACCGGCCGTGGGAGTCGCCTCAGCGACGCTCGAGGCCGAGACGCGCGCCTCTTCTACCAAGCGCCACAGCCTGCGCCCCTCAACTCAGCCGTTCCTTCTCTGCTCTGTGCGCTTGTCGCCTCCTCGCCATTATCAAGAACGGCGGTCGCACCCGAGACGCCAAGCCGCGCGTGACAGCGCCAGATCTCCGAGGCGACGAGCCGATCGCACAAGGTACGTAGATCGACACCCATCGCGCTGCCCGTGCTTGCTCGCTCACATCAGTGTTGCTCTGGTAGCGCATTGCCCACCTGCGCAAGGGTCCATCGCGGCGACTGGGCTCTTCAAGATTGACCATCGTTGGCCCGCGGCAGATAGCTGGATCGTCGACCTGCGTCGCGGACGCCCTGCGCTGAAAATTATGGGCAGCAAGCGTGCGTTCAACGAAGGCGCGCCGATGCGGCGAGGTCGAGCGACAACAGCAAAGCGACAACGAGACGCGGTTGAAGCCGCTGGGTAGTATTACATGTATAAGTTAATGAGATTGCTGCATTCTTGAATGACGAATAAGACTTGGTACGAGTGCCCTCATGAGGGCGTAGTCTACTGGCGCCGTACAGGAGTTGACGGGGGCATGAGGTGCAACTCGACAGCGTGTCGGTAGCGCCTGTGTCGCTTGGGCTCGCAGCACAGTGCAGCTTCGACACGGAATCAGCGCGCTGGAGCACCTTGATGATATACCACTAAGAGTCGTAGGCGCCCATTCAGGCGATGGCGATGGCTTGGTGGTGGCGACCAGGCAGCGCGTTGGCTGCAGTGGCACGTGCGGTGGTCTGAGCTGAGCAGCGACATGCGCTGGCTATGCGAGCGCGCGCCGGTGGGCTGTGCTGGGAAGATGGCGGCTTGAAGCCTCCATGCTGAAAGCAGCGACGCCGGCGGCGGTGGCATGGGTGGCTGGCGCTGCGCCATCCGCGCGGACCGCGCGCCCTGGAGCGCCCCGACGCAATAGAATGCAGTGCAGTACCCTTTGCCATCCTATCGCCAAGCTCCGTATTTGATTTCACAGGATATTAAGTCTCAATAGAGCATGCGCCAGTAAACGCCAAGTGCCCAATCAAACGGCACTTCGCCCATTTGAACGACTGCCCGATCCAACATGACCAGCGAAGCGACGCCACTGCTGGCTAAAGCGCCGGCGCCAGTCCGCGCGAGCTGCTTGTCGGCGCTCTTCTTCATGTGGCTGAGCCCGCTCCTGGCCCTCGGCGCAACCAAGACCCTCGACGTCGACGACCTCTACCCGATCGAGGCCGGCCACGA